TCGGAATAGTCCGAAAGGCAAACGCAATTTGTTGAAGTTTTATATCCCATGTTCGTTGATCCTCAAAAGAGTATGCTGCCAGTATAGGTTTAATCGATCTGTTTACTCTTTCCGACAAGTTAGTTTGTGTGATATAAGGATGTTTTACGATGTTTTATTTGTAAAATATCGCACACAGATTTAAAACGTTGGACACAAACTGTGCGCCATTATCTGATATTATTTTGATTGATCAGTGATATTTGACTTTGATTTTTCTCTTCTTAGTGTTCGATTGAACGGTTTGGTGACCGAAAAAGTTCGGTTGCGAACCGTTCGGCCACCGAACTATCGGTTTGGTGCATGCCTAGATGCAAAGTAGAATAGAAGAACATTTTAAGGCATATTAGTATTGTCCGGTAGAAGACACATTCGCTCACATTGTGCTTTATTTAATCTATTTTCTCACTGGTCACTTCCTTCAAAAGCTTCAATTTCATTCAATTTGCCGTTAGTCCAGATCAGGTATGCAACCATCCCAAGCTAGGGCTCGCTGATCGGCAGCGAACATGTTTGGTTGCGAACCGTTCCGTGAACGAACATGTTCGGTAACAAACCGTTTGGTGGCCGAACATGTTCGGTTGCGAACGGTTTGGTGACCGAAAAAGTTCGGTTGCGAACCGTTCGGCCACCGAACTATCGGTTTGGTGCATGCCTAGATGCAAAGTAGAATAGAAGAACATTTTAAGGCATATTAGTAGTGCATAATTTGCATTACTTCATTATATTATGAATTAAGTTGTTGGATAGAAATGATTAGAATAGTAAAAGACTAGAATAGTAGAATAATAGAATAGCAGAATAGTGTTTTCCACCGGCTACAGCCTAAAAATTAAAGCTTATTTTAAATGGACCTCAATGCCATAGTGTTTTGTGATAAAGAAAGCAAAGGCTCTTTTTAGAAGGTATTATTTTGAAACGATCTGTGGAAAATCCGTTCTTAAAATAGCAATGTATTTGTTTTTTCAGATAGATAAATAGTGTTTAGTACCGTCTGCAAACTGGAATTTTTGGGATTTCTGGAACTTTTTCATTGCTAATGCAAATTTTGAAACACTGAATTTTCCACGGACCTTTTCAAAATCCTATCTTTTGAAAATAGTTTTTACTTTTTTTTATCACAAAAGGCTATGCCATTGAGGTCCGATTAAAATAAGCTTTAATTTGACATATAAGAAATATGTAGCTTTTCAGGGTGAAGAATCTTGAAATATGATCTTGTAATTCATATTACAATACACCACAAGACCTTACAAGAGCATATGAAATCTTGTCAGATTTCATAAGAATGTTGGTTAAAAAAAAAATAAACTTTGTCAATCTGCTGTTGAAAAAACTGCTGTAAATAAATTGAGCGTTAATTTAGAAAATAATTCCTGGTAAGCAGAAAATAGTTCCTGTCACGATATACGTAGATATATTTTTGTGTTTTTGTATGTGTGTCAATTTTAAGAATAATTGCTTGCTTTAATAACCGTTTTTTCAATATTATCACCTTTGAATAATCCAGCAAACACTTACAGCATTCTATTTTATTAGAAATTCTTAAACTTATACTTTGATAGATTATATATTATGACTGCATAGGTTTTTATGTTATAAATGTGTAACAGTAGGGCAACTATTCTTGCATTAACCAATCAATATTCGACTGACTCCAAGATGGATTTTAAAAAATTACCTGTTTAATCATTTCGGCTTGTGCTTCTGGCTATTCATCTTGATGTGCCCAACCCAAAACACCGCGTATTGTCATTTCTTTCAGAAATATTATCACATGGTGTTGTGGATCGAAAAAAGCAAAAGAATAACGATGATTTAATGATAGTGTATATTCTGCAAAGAGATTCTTGACTACCCTGTTTAATATCAGAAAAAAGAGTTTGAAGCGGCACCACCTCCAGCAATATTTTCAATACATTGACTTTTCAATATTCGCATTATGGAACTTCATGCGGAAAGAGTAAAATAAATAAATTTTACCATAGGGCTAATACCAAGTTCATTTGTATTTTATCGCATGAAGTAACGAACAGACAAGACGAATATAGAGAAATAATAAGAGAAGAAAAACAAATAAAAATGATCTCAAAAAACAAAAGCAAATAAAACGTTAAGATAAGAGAAAGAATAAAAAAAGAATGTGCGTAGATAAAGATTATATATGAAAATGTTTAATTAATTTTATATATTACATGATAGCTAAATATATTAATTAAAAAAATTTTCATCTTGACAGATGATTGTTCACACGTTTATTTATTTATAACGATGAGTAAAAGATAATTTTTTTCATAGAAGCATGACAAGTCGTGAATCTGAGATGGTTTACAAAAAAAAAGAATTCAATAATTTTAAACTTTCCACAATCATAGAGATTGTTTAGCGATACACAAATTCACACACAAATCACAACATAATTGATAGAGACAGTATCTATATATTGCCTCGATTTCATACAGTCTAAAAACATTGAAATTTATTTGTACAATAAATAATTTGCTTTTAAATAACGATAAATTAGTACACATTCACAGTTCTTTTTTTTTCCCTCTAGTTTATTCTACTCGGACATGAAACAACATCACAAACACAACATACTCAACTTCCGTCTACAACAATGTCTTCACTACTACTTGCTAGCGCTTCGAATACAACAGCATCAACAACAAACCTTTTATCTTCATTATTTCTTCCATTAAACAAAACGTCCACAGCAACAAATTTATACAAATTCAAACGGCTCTATAGCAAGCATCGCCATTAAGTAAGTCACTGAGAAAAAACTTATATTGCATGAATTGAACGTTATTAGTTTCATTAGTTAATCGTAGACAGTTCATTCCACGTTCCTTTTCTGCTGTTCCATGAAAAAAATGACTTTACTAAAAGAAAAATATCGACAAGACAAGATTTGAAAATCGCGGTTATCTTATGATGATAAATAATGTGACAATAATAGGCCAATTGACTATGACACAAACAAAATATTACTGTAAAACACGAGAGAGCCTGTAATATTTTGTGAAAACTTCTTAGAACTTGTCCGTTTTCCAAAGAAAAAGGAAGTTTGAAGTATAAAGTTTGTACACGAGGATTTTTATGGTTTGCAGATGATTTTTTGGCAGTAGCTGTAAACTTTCAGGGTGGACTTGTGATTGATCAAATTTCAATATAAATTTGATGTTTACAGCTTCTGAATGAATCGGTAACAGACAGTGTTATTGGTCGGATGTTGTTAGACACAAGTTTTAAAAATTATTCGGATATATTATCACATATTCTATGTGATAGCCCGCCAGTTCAATAGGAATTTTTCACATTTTTGCTTCGTAGAAGCAACGTAGACAAACTTTTTATTCAGGATCGGAGATAACAGTACAAAAGTGGACATCATAGTTTTCTATAAGTCGTCTGTTGTTATTATGTTCCATTTTCATGCATTTTTTAAGATTATGTAATAGGATTTTTATCTTTCCAGCCTATGAACAAGTTCCATTTAAAGAGGCTAGTGAATGGTGTCATATAACGTATTATGAAATGTCACATCGTGTCGGTGAACAATTTCGTGCTACACAACCACAAGTTATTATCGACGGTTTTACTGATCCATCAAATCCTGATCGTTTTTGTTTGGGAATATTAACAAATATTAATCGAACATATGAAATTAATAAAGCAAGAACATCTATCGGTATGCAGTTTTATCTGTTCTAAATACTTTCTCTATTTCATTTTTATTTTTAATCATTTTTCAGGTCGTGGTGTTCGATTATATCACATTCGAGGTAATGTCTACGCTGAATGTATATCTGATAATCCAGTATTTGTACAAAGTCCTATATGTAATCAACGATTTAACTGGCATCAAACAACTGTATGCAAAATTCCACCGAGTATGTAACGTGTTATTAATCAATTTTTTTATTTATTTTATTGAAAGTTTTAAATGAAAGAATACTGAATAATCACGATAGATGATTGTAAATTTTACATAAAAAATGTATTTTAACTTTCATTTTGTAAAGATAATCAATCGTTGTGTGACTAATATATAACTTCTTTCATTCATTTATTTTAGCATACAATTTGAAAATATTTGATAGTGCTGATTTTGCACGGACATTAAATAATGCAATACGTGACGGTTACGAAGCTGTTTGGCAATTAACAAAAATGTGTATTATACGAATGAGTTTTGTTAAAGGATGGGGTATAGAATATAGGTATATGAACAAAAATATATTCTTATCTATAAAATATTATCATCTTTTTTGATTTAGGCGTCAAGCTGTTACCTGTACACCATGTTGGGTAGAAACTCATTTAAATGGTCCATTAAAATGGTTAGACAATGTTTTACAACATATGCGTGGTCCAACACAATCCATCACAAGTGTATCATAATCTAGACATGTAATTGTCATTCTTCATTTTGTTTTGTTTTTGTTTTTGTTTAGTTTGTTTATTCAAAATATTATTTATCTCTCTGTCTCATTTTTAAACTAGTTGTTCAGGAAATAAAAATAAAAAAATATCTGAGTTGTGTTTTCTTCTTCATACTCAACCGGTTCGTTTCTCCTCTCTTATCTATGTATGTGTAATTATGACCAAAAAACATTGTTTTATGAAAACTGTTGTTTTTTTACGGTATGTATGTGTTTGTTTGTTTTCTCTCCGGTTTTTGTTTTATTGTTGTTGTTGCTTACATTAAAAATGCTGGTTTCTTACGTTTTATACTATAATTTTTGTGCTTTCCAATATCTTCTTTTTTTGTACATACAATTACATTATAATATAAAGAATGCTATACTTATTTTCATTCTAGTTTGATTGTTAAGAGTGAATAATTGTTTACTACAGTTGAAAATCGTATGATTAATGCAATTCAAGTATATGATCTATTTAACTTTTGTTCATGATTTTTACTGTCTTTGCTGTTGTTAAGGCACTCACCCCTTCTTTTTCACTTTGTTGGCAACCAGGTCCTAATGAACTCGGCTTTTCATCGGCGGTAGAGCATCGAAAACGAAGATCGATACATTTTTGTTTATAACTTTTTCATTTATTTGTATATGAGTTTTCTATTGAAAACTGTAGTTTTTTATCTGCATACAGTACGACATGCATACACCCTGAAAACTTCATACAATCGAATTGAAACATTTTACCACCGAATGATATTTTAGAGTGCAATCTTTTTTCGTTTTTAATTTTTCCTTCTTGAAATATACAAAAATACCTTACATAAAATCTCGGTTTATATTTTCAAAACTCTATAACTCAAAAACGAAAAAAGATTGTACTCTGAAATATTACTTGTTGGTAAAATGTTTCAGCTCGATTGTATGAAGTTTTCGGAGCGTATGCATGTTGTACTATATGCAGATTAAAATCACAGTATTTAAAAAAGAGAAGCCATAGAAGAATCAATCAGAAAATTTTAAAATTATTGTTTATTGGTGTCATACAGAAAGGGTATATTTTTGTTTACTTTATAAATTTGTTAAGAGAGTATGAATTGTTTTACTCGCCTACGAATAAGCAACAATGAAAGGATACAAAACAATCTAATCCAAATGATGTGAATAAAAACATTTTAATCGAGATTAGAACTTTGTTCAATCGATTTTGTGTATTGCGAATTCTGTTCGTTGTGTGTGTGTGTGTATTTTTAGTTTTAGATTATTTCAGTTGTGTTAGAGCACTTTTTAGTTCTCGATTAATATAAAAAAAGATGACGCGTATTAAATGTGCAGATCTTTGTGGTAAAAAGCCAGGTATGTTCTCTCAATTAATTCTCTTTTGTTGTTTCAAATTGTTTATTATGTAGATGAATTACAAAAACAATTGAATGATTTACGTCAGGAGTTGAATGTATTACGTGTAGGAAAAGTAACTGGCAGTGGTGGTGCAGCTAAACTATCAAAAATACGAAGGTAATAGTCGATTTTGTTTTATACTCAGTGATATTTGACTTTGATTTTTCTCTTCTTAGTGTTCGATTGCTCGTGTTTTGATTGTTACACATAAAAAAACAAAGGAAAATTTGCGTCTATTACATCATGGTAAAAAGTTTAAACCAATAGATTTACGTCCAAAAAAGACGTGTGCCTTTCGTCGTTTAATGACAAGAAAAGAAAAATCAATTCGATCAGAAAAAACAAAACGAAAACAATGGGCATTTCCATGACGAGTTTATGGAATTAAAGCTTAAAATATCTTTTGTTATTTTTTTAAATTGTATCCACACCACTTTTTATTTTAATATCTATTTCAAGTTGTGTAGGTAATAAAGAAAAGTGAAAATAAAACACCAAGAATTCGTTTTATTTTTGTTACAATTTAAAATTTTTCGTACGTTGTTTAGTTTAGAAATCAAATGAGACGATACATATTGACATTTATCTCCGTGTTTATGTACTTAAAAAAAACTGAAATGAAATTTTCAATTGTTATGACGTTTCGTTTTAACTTATGCGAAAAGAACTTGCTGCTTCTTTCTTTTATTTTACTCTTCGTAATAGGAAGAACGAAAAAACATTGAGTCGAATGATATACACGAAACCAATGAAAGATTCGTATTGGTAGTCATTTGTAGCGGCGACGTTGTTTAGTTCCGTTTTAAAAGACTATGGATATGATTCAATTTTTATTGTCGATAATAGTCTCCATTTCTCTTTTTCTAATTGCTATTATAGAGATTCTCAATTATTTTTCCTTTTTTTTCTTCTTTTATTAGATAAAAACATAAGATTCATACCACAGCAACAGTATCACGTTTATTATATAAAGTGAATAAATCTATTGCTGTATTTCAGATTAAATATGGCATCTCAAGATTTCAATGTTGAAGTTATTAAAGAAGGATCAGGTATATACGAAATGATATATATCCTTTTTTTTATGTTTTCTTGAAATAATTAATTAATTAATTATAATCTTTGTGTATAGGTGATAAGTCAAAAAATGGTCAAAAAGTATCGGTTCATTATACAGGTAAATTATGTTGATAATAACTAAATTTTTTTGATAACAATCGAAAAAGAGAGACATAGTTGAACTCATTCCTCTCTCAATTTTAGGAAGATTAACAAATGGTACAAAGTTTGATTCATCATCTGATCGTGGCAAACCGTCTGAATTTAAACTCGGAGAAGGAAAAGTAATCAAAGGTGAAAATAGAAGGAGAAAAAAAGTGAAAAAAAAATATCAGCTATGTTTTAACTTTTATTTGTTTTTTCTTCATTAGGTTGGGATCAAGGTGTTGCTCAAATGAGTAAAGGTGAACAAGCAAAAATTACCTGTCCACCCGGGTGTGGTAAGTAGATTAATTTTGATGTACAAAGAAATTATACTAGTCATCGATTAGACAGAGACAAAAAAGCAGGCGGTTGTTTACTGTATACACGTAATAATATTCTCTCTACTCGTCTGTCTTCCCTCGATAATATAAAATTTGAAACTATGTTTTTTGCTCTTGTCATCCCTGGAACGGAAAATGTTTTGCTGGTGCTATCTTACAGAACTGAATCGACTGCTGATATCTTTGATGAATACATAGAGTTCCTGTCTGAGTCTTTAGGTGAAGCTATGTCAACCAGATCCTTTGTTGGTCTTCTGATGTTGGGTGACTTCAATGCTCACTGTGATAAGTGGTGTGTCACTCGCCCCTCAACGTCAGAAGGTGATAAACTCTTTTCTTTTGTGGACGGTACGGGACTCTATCAATTAGTCAGAGAACCGACTCGATTGGTGTCTGAGACTTGTCTTGACTTAGTAATGACAAATAATTTGAGTCTTATTGACAGTGTGAGAGTTCTACCATTGTTGTGCGAAACGTGTGACCATTCACCGGTATTTATCAAATTAAACACTTCTATGCCTGTCAGGATGGATGGTCGAAATTAACATATACCTCTTTTAATATTTTTGGATTCAACGATCAAACGCGGAGCTATGAAAAAATGTTTAGTCTTTTTGGACTTAATTTGACCGAGTTATAGCATTTACAAAATGGTCGGTGTCCGAGAATCTTGAAAAACCATCCTCTTTACTATTTTCGCTATAACTTCAAGATTTTTCATCCGTTCTGTTTGAGCAACACATTCAAAAATCTGATAAAAACTAAAGAAAACAGTTGATTTAATTCTGTTCTGCTGTTGAGTTTTCTAAGAAAAAAATTGAGTTTTCTGAAATTTTCCAGTTTTCAAGACACGAAGAGTTTTGATCAAAAGTCAATTTTGAATCATAAAAAGATTTCTGACTAGATTCTCTTATCATGCATTTTATAGAGCATCTGATCCTGTACAAGATGGATTAAATAATTTGGAAAAAGTTAGATTCACTTTGTTAAATATTAACATTGGCTAGAATGGAACTATTGATTTATTCTGATGATCTTATCTCAAAATTCAAACTACTATGGAAAATAAGACAAATAGATTTATCGATCCTAAAATAAGATTCCTTAAATCGGTTGACGATAAGCCTCATACACCGATCTTAAGATAAGGTGAATGCCGATCAGACTGACCAAAAGATCTTATTTTAAGACATATTTTTCGTAGAGTGAGTGGAATGAAGCAAAGATAGGTAGTATCAAATCTCGAGTTATGCTTCTTTTATCGCGGTTGGAGTCAGATTAGTCGATACAGTACCGTATGATGAGAGAGGACATTGTCCTCAAATAGTACATTTCATCAAATTTTTACTCTCCTCAAGTATAACAACAGATCTTCCATTTGAAGAGAAGAATTTGACATTTGGTAAAGAAATTACGACTCCGAAAGCAATACGGGGTTTAATTTTCAACCAGAGTGTCTTACGAGGAAAGGTTTTCAGATGATAAATCACTTTTTGATCGAAATCTAGTAGGTATAGGTTATCGACCATACTGATTTCAAATATGACGATGGAAGTCGCCCTTAGACCTTTGAAGATCCGTTTTTGTGAAAAACCGGTTTTTCAGAAACTCTAAATAATAACCAAAATCTTCCTTAATGAGACATGATTGCAGCCCGTACATTTCTGATTTAAATGACATATCTTCCAGCTCTGCATGATATTTATTTGCAAGTTATAGATAGTGGTGGAGCCACCGGGAGAGCTTGGGGAGCTGAGCTCCCCCTAGGAAATTTTAATCTTTTAATTTAAATTTGAATTTTTATCTAGTAGTACTGTAGGCAGGTTTCAGTTTCAATGAAAACGCTTCATCAAAGTTAATATTAAAAAACAGATTTCATCAAACTTAACTTTAAAATGACAAGAAAATCTTGGAGCACGGCAACAACTCTTGAAAAGCACACATGACATCTTTTAGGTTATTTTCTCATCATTTTAAAGTTAAATTCGACCAAATCTGCTTTTTAATATTCAATTTTTCATCAAGAATTAGCACGAAATTGTTTTGAGGGATAACGACAATAATAAATGTTAAATCTTCGTTTACTTTGTGTTGGTTGTTGGTGATTTTTATCACGAAATGGTTAATCAGCATATTCGCAAACGAGGAAGAATTTGTATTTGCGGTGCAATTTCAAATTACAGAGATGAAGAATCCAAGAAATGTAAGATGACCTTAGTCTCTCACATCTCATCAAGAAAAGGTTTGAGGGCCGAAAATTGATTTAAACGGAAACTCTGAAATGTCCTATGCTAGGCATCTCAGAAATGATTTTAAATAACATATAATCGTCTATCATATTCATCAGTCATACAATCAGTCCATCTTCATGAACATAATAGACATTTTTCGTTTGACATATGAGGAGTTGTTGTTAGAAGTCATTTTTCGTGCAGCTACGTACGAATGTCATGTTTGTTTTGATTGAAAATGTACTTTATATTAAGTAAAACTAAAATTCCCCGAAATCAAGGTTTTTCTGAAAGCCACCTATCCCTGCGTAGCAAAGATGTAAGTTTTACGCTGGTTTTATCTGAGTTGTTATCGATTATTTTGGATGTAAAAAGTATTTTTATGAAAAAAAACAGCCATGTATGCCAGTTTATTTTCCACTAATTAAATTTGAAAAATTTCAGCGTCACTTTTTATGTCCGCATGAAGTTCCATAATGCGAATATTGAAAAGCCAATGTATTGAAAATATTGCTTGAGGTGGTGCCGCTTCAACCTCTTTTTTCTGATATTAAACAGAGTAGTCAAGAATCTCTTTGCAGAATATACACTATCATTAAATCATCGTTATTCTTTTGCTTTTTTCGATCCACAAAACCATGTGATAATATTTCTGAAAGAAATGACAATACGCGGTGTTTTGGGTTGGGCACATCAAGATGAATAGCCAGAAGCACAAGCCGAAATGATTAAACAGGTAATTTTTTAAAATCCATCTTGGAG